ATGCAACAGCATGACAAGAAGTGCAATCAGCGTCACCACCAAACTAAAGGCTAAACCGTGTTTGAGAGGTAGAGTTGCTCAGATCTGATTAGAGTGGTACCGTAGCTATAATCGTGATTTAAAACTCTTTGATAGAGCAGAGTCCATATTTTTCTATGATATAATGTCTAATCCTTTTCTTATAATTTCAGCAGACCAGTAAAGGACAGATATGCATGACACACGCATAAATAGAACTTCAGAGCCTAGCGTAAGTGCCACTGTGGAGCTAACAAACAACGCTTCATCTTATGTGGCGTGTCGTATAGTGGTCTAAGAGGTCTGCTTCGAACTCCGGAGGTGCAGGGTTCAATTTCGCTCGAGGGTAATCTTGGACCTATTCACCACTTCCTGTAAGCATGGAATTTACCAAACACTACTTCAGACCACGCTTGCTTATTCGATGGAACGTCGAACTCAGAGCCAACAAGTCGCGCGTTAAAACTCCGGTCTGGGTCACCCTCCCTTCCTCCGTCCGAGACTGATAAATGAATACCACTCTGTGGGAAAGAAACAGAAGCCAGTACGAGACGCTTTGGCAAAAGATTTTAGACTCTGCGTTTACAACAATAAGGCACTCCTGACTGACATTATGGAAACAGAAATCAGCTCCGCCCCCATCAAGTTTATAAAAAAGGGCGCCAAAGCGGTCCAATGGTGATAGTGAAGAAAGACCTACATGCTGACTAGTTTTCCATATCGGCGGATACCCGTTCTGTGAACGACACAGGGGGGGGGGCAAGCCTTTGGAAACTGCCCTCAAGCGGTTGGATTAATCACCCTCACGCAATCATGGTTTGCTTTAAACGTCACTTGAAACAACAAGGCTGTCTTCAACAGCCAGTGGTTTTAAATACAGCGTGAAGAGTAAAACTTTGCATATTTGCCTCTCTGCCGAACACAAACACGTTTCCCTCTGCGGGAGGAAAAATGCATGGCACTATTAAGAGGTAAGGGAGAAGATGTCAGCGCACTGGCTGCTTGAATAGCAGCTACCGACAAATCTCTTCGCTCATCGATCCATGGGTCAAGACAACAGTTTATAAGAATGATGTTAAACCTATAATTAAGCGACTCGTTTCGAGGCGGCTCATCAGCTTCATTATTATCATCGGTAAATGGAGGCAAATGAAACGGCTCCGAGTAATGAAAAATTGTCACATAACGATTAATTGACAGAATCTTCTCATATGAACAACAGACAGATGACAATCCTGTTGTGGTCGAAGCATTTCTGTGGCTTGCATTGGCATCCGCATGTCTGATCTATTTTAAAAATATTTCCATCGCTTTTCTTTTAAAGAACAAACAAACATGCCCTTTGTCAGTTGCACTGCAAACCAGATTCGAAACGCAATACCAGATCAAACTGGTAATGTTCCTCACTAAGAGCTATTTTTTTCCTACGTTTTTCCACCAACTAGGCTGATTTCAGTTTTTTGGTTTTGCCAGCTGACCGTAGATTCTGGATACCGAAGCACTACCTGACCTCCCACGCTGTACTTTACAAAAGAATACGGTTTTCGTTGTCGCGCGTCGAGCAACGGCAATAAAACTCACAATAGAAAACTCGAATCGGCCGGTTTGCCTCGGTGAAGCCAACTAAGCGCAAAGATTCACGTTTCCACCTTACAAATATTGCCAGAGGCTGTTTTTACGGCAGTGCGTGAAACCGTGTATTTACACCACCAACGTATGAGCGAGCAAAATACTGCGTTGTCGCCTGCCAAGTCCGCAGAACAGACAACAACTGCGTGTAGCTCGACAATCAGGTATTACTGTCGTTGGTAAACAGTAAACAAATGCATGAGTGACTGAGTGACTGGGCGTTGTCACTCGTGACCGCTGTTCAACGACTCCACGGCGTTAGAACACGATTTGTGAAAATTTTAGGTACGATCGTTCGTTTCTGACACGCACAAACAGCTAATACAAAGGCAAACCTACGGCGTAGGCAGTTTCAACGAGGAGGCAATGCGGTAGAAGTCCTATCGCAAAGTTTGAGTTAGCTGGCAGGCACAGATAACAAATCCTCTGAATCGCATTTGTACCTCACAGGTTAAGTGAGTTTCGCTGGGACTGAAAGTGCGACGTAAAGTAACTACCCAAATTTCGGCTATATTAAGTTATTTGGGATCCATCTTCACGAGAAGATCGACAAAAGATCAGATCATCCTTTCTGGTACCCGGTTCTTCAGAGTTGAGCAGATGACACTTGCTTGCCATCCGTAAGAAGAATATCAGGTTTCTTTAACAAATATTACAGACGTACAAAACCCCTTTTACTCTCCCTCATGGAAAGCGTGGTGCAGATTGGATTCTTCGCATCACGAAACAATAATCACTGGTCATTGCTGGCCTTTGCGCTGCACCATCCTATGATTGGAGGGTCTGCTCTGGAACGCTGTTTCATCGATGTACCACATGACTCGCCTTCGAAGTTTTTGCGGTGAATTCCGTTTTGATGCTTTGTAGCCACTGCGAGGGCATCGGGTGCAGAACACCATCTATTAGGATCCTCATCAAATGGCCACATAGGGCAATCCTGAGGCGGTTGACTACGTGAGAGGTAAAGCCAGTCGAATGATTTCTGGTACAACAATCGTTAGAAGAAATCATGCAATTATTTTGAGACTTCGTCTTTGGTTCCTCAGCTACAAGGTCCGCTGAGTATTAGTGTCCAATTTCGGTATCATCTGAAAAGCTACCCAAAATACTGAGGCTTCTCCACCTACTGTGTAGCTTTCCTCGAGATGATCGATGTATAGATTTTCATTTCTACATGCTGCTGCCACATTAATAAGTGCAGCTTGAGGCTCTGCACGCGAGGAAACGAAGATGCGCAAGAATAAGTCTTTCAGTAGCATCCAGATTCGACAACTACACCGGTTACGGCATCCCTTCATTACCAAAAAAGGCCATTTTA